CATGAAGGCATACGTACGGATGCATACGTATGTCTACGCGCGTCTAGATTAAATAGGTAGGTACCAGACATGCGAGTATTCATGCATATACGCATGCAGATGCGCACGTTCCTTAATATTCAGCTCATTATTCCAGAGCTAATTTGTCATTGATTTGTTGACCTACATGCATAAGCTCCAGATTACACAAACATATTTGTCAACTTACATGTGTAGCTTGTAAATCAGCAAAATCTGTTCTGTTTACTGACATGTGGAAAGCTGTAGTTTTGCAAGATACTGTTTTGCTGTTCTCGTTTTGGGCACAGCTGACGAGCGAAACCTATTCGCGCTGCGAATTTGTCACTGTAAATGCTGGCACATTCACTTTGGGTCGCGCTCGCTGTATCGGAGTGTCGGACTGCATATACGCAGGGCACCCAAACCGACTTTCCGACTTTGTCACTGCGCTGCCGACGTAGCACTGTGCAGAACGCTACTTCAGTACATCCACTTTGCACCACGAACCCACGTTCGTTCAGGGGGACCAAGCAAGCCAGAAAGTGCACGAAACGTGATGTGAGTGGGCTGGGCTCACAATCGCTCACCTAACTCCCACTCCCGTTTTTCAGACCTCGATTCTTATCATCCGCCACTCTATCTCAACTCAACATCCGAGCCTCTCTTCTAGATCGCCCTCCGCCATGGGGCATGGCATCACCATTTCGTAAGCCTGCTTTCTTAGTCGCAGTCACGCTATCGTAGTTTCGTTTTTCGTGATTTCGTTTGCTATTTTTTTTTTTTCCAGATCTCGTTTCAATCTCAAGCCATTCTACTCAAGAGCGCAGCCTCTCTTTTGGATCGCCATCCGCCATGGGCCATGGCATTAGTATTTCGTAAGCCCGCTTTCTTACTCACGCTATCTTCAGTCTTGTTTCCAGTAATTTCGTTTTCTTCGTAGATTCCCTCTTCTTAGCTCCGTTTGTTCCGATTTCTGCTTGTCCGTGTTCGTGCTGACGTGTGCATGGTCATGGCAGGCACGCTGCAGCCAGCACAAGCTCGTCATCTGCCGTTCCAGGAGCCAGCAGCAATGCGGCATTCCACATCCAAAATCTGCCACCAAACATGGCGATTTCCGTTTAGCTCCGCTTCAGGGCGCCGATGCCACGCCGCTGTCATGCCAATTGCCATGCCGCTGACACGCCAACGACAACGACGGCGCTGCTCATGGCGCTCTGGGGAACGTTGAGACATCCAGGCCACCCTCTCCCCTCCCCTTTCTGCCAGGTACCAGTGCAGCGCTTGCCCATTTGAGCATGTCTCACCCACCCCCTCCCCTCTTTCCCCACTTCCCCCCTTCTGCCAGGTGCCTTCCCATGCCCTGCATGGTGCCTTCTCATGCCCTGCCCGGTAAATTCTCATGCCCTGCATGGTGCCTTGGCATGCCCTGCCAGGTGCATTCGCATTCCCTGCATGGTGCCTTCTCATTTCCTGCCAGGTACGGGGGTAAGGGGGTTTAGGGTGCTCCCCCCGCTCACTTGCCCTGCTCCCCCCGCTCACTTGCTCTGCTCCCCCACCCCAACTCCTCCCCTCCCCTTGCGCAGGTGCCAGTTTCTCCTGTCGCCAAGATGAAGATACTTTGCACAGGGAGCAGATGCGTTGCCAGCTGCTTGTGTGGCCGTCCCTGTTCATCCATGCGCGGGACATGAGAGAGAACAAGGGAGAGAAACAGAAGCAGGAGGAGGGAGCGCAGCGCCATGCCATGCCGCATGGCCCACCAAACCAGCCCCAGGTGCGTTGTGAGTCATTTGACCAATCCCCTCCTCTGTCCCCTTTGTTTTGAGTCATTTGACCAATCCCCTCCTCTCTCCTCTTTGTTTTGAGTCATTTGACCAATCCCCTCCTCTCTCCCCTCTGTTTTGAGTCATTTGACCAATCCCCTCCTCTCTCCTCTTTGTTTTGAGTCATTTGACCAATCCCCTCCTCTCTTCCCCCTGTTTTGAGTCATTTGACCAATCCCCTACTCTCTCCCCTCTGTTTTGAGTCATTTGACCAATCCCCTCCTCTCCCCTCTTTGTTTTGAGTCATTTGACCAATCCCCTCCTCTCTTCCCCCTGTTTTGAGTCATTTGACCAATCCCCTACTCTCTTCCCTCTGTTTTGAGTCATTTGACCAATCCCCTCATCTCTCCTATTCGTTTTGAGTCATTTAACCAATTCCCTCCTCTCTCCTCTTTGTTTCGAGTCATTTCACCAATTCCCTCCTCTCTCTCTCCTCTTTGTTTTGAGTCATTTGACCAATCCCCTCCTCTCTCCCCTCAGTTTTGAGTCATTTCACCAATCCCCTCCTCTCTCCTCTCTGTTTTGAGTCATTTGACCAATCCCCTCCTCTCTCCTATTTGTTTTGAGTCATTTGTCCAATCCCCTCCTCTCTCCTATTTGTTTTGAGTCATTTGACCAATCCCCTCCTCTCTCTCTGTTTTGAGTCATTTCACCTATCCCCTCCTCTCTCCTCTTTGTTTCGACTCATTTGACCAATCCCCTCCTCTCTCCCCTCAGTTTTGAGTCTTTTCACCAATCCCCTCCTCTCTCCTCTTTGTTTTGAGTCATTTGACCAATCCCCTCGTCTCTCCCCTCTGTTTTGAATCATTTGACCAATCCCCTCCTATCTCCCCTCTGTTCTGAGTCATTTGACCAATCCCCTCTTCTCTCCCCTCTGTTTTGAGCCATTTGACCAATCCCCTCCTCTCTCTCTGTTTTGAGTCATTTCACCTATCCCCTCCTCTCTCCTCTTTGTTTCGACTCATTTGACCAATCCCCTCCTCTCTCCCCTCAGTTTTGAGTCTTTTCACCAATCCCCTCCTCTCTCCTCTTTGTTTTGAGTCATTTGACCAATCCCCTCCTCTCTCCCCTCTGTTTCGAGTCATTTGACCAATGCCTCATCTCCCCTCCCCTCCCCTCTCCTCCCTCCCTCCCTCCCTCCCTCCCTCCCTCCCCGTGTTTCAGCAGCTGCCAGCGGGGCGTGACAGTGCAGCACGGGGTGGGGCAAGCTGACGCGCACGCCCACGTGGTAAGAGTGAACCAGAACGATGCATGGATGTATGAACACAAAAGCAAAACAATGTACTAGGGCACATAAAAATCATGTGCCTTCTCATTCCCTCAAGGTGCCTTGCCGTTCCCTGCATGATGCCTTCTCATTCCTTGCATGATGCCATTTTCCTCCCCTTTCCAGCAGGTGCCAGTGCAAGGCATAATGTTTTGAGGTGTCACACTCAACACCTCCCCTCTGTCCTCCCGTTTCCAGCAGGTGCCAGTGTAGCGCATGTTGATTGAAGAGGTCTCACTCACCCCGTCCCCTCTTTCCATCCCAATATTTCCTGTTTGTTTGTTTGTTTGTCTGTTTCAGTTTGTTTTGCTTGCTTGTTTGTTGTTCCTGTGTGCATTCTTTGCTCAAGGGGAGACGTCCAAGCCACCCTCTCCCCTCCCCTTTCTGCCAGCTGCCAGTGCAGCGCCTGCCCATTTGAGCTTGTCTCACCCACCCCCTCCCCTCTTTTCCCACTTTACCCCTTCTGCCAGGTGCCTTCTCATGCCCTGCAAGGTGCCTTCGCATGTTGCACGGTGCCTTCACATGCCCTGCATGGTGCCTGTTCATGCCCTGGCTGGTGGGTTGCATTCCCTGCATGGTGACTTTCATTTCCTGCCAGGTAAGGGGGTAAGGGGGTTTAGGGTGCTCCCCCCGCTCACTTGCCCTGCTCCCCCCGCTCACTTGCTCTGCTCCCCCACCCCAACTCCTCCCCTCCCCTTGCGCAGGTGCCAGTTTCTCCTGTCGCCAAGATGAAGATACTTTGCACAGGGAGCAGATGCGTTGCCAGCTGCTTGTGCGGCCGTCCCTCATCATCCATGCGCGGGACATGAGAGAGAACAAGGGAGAGAAACAGAAGCAGGAGGAGGGAGCGCAGCGCCATGCCATGCTGCATGGCCCACCAAACCGGCCCCAGGTGCGTTGTGAGTCGCCCCAGAGCATGCACTGCACACCTTGCCATATCCCTCACACCTGCCATCCCACCATGCCCTCACACCTCCTGCCATCCCCTCACTTGCCCTGCTCCCCCCGCTCACTTGCTCCGCTTCCCCTCTCCCCCACCCCAACTCCCCCCCTCCCCTTGCGCAGGTGCCAGCTTCCCTCCTGTCGCCAAGACGAAGACACTTGGCTTGCAATGTGTAGAGTGGTAGGGATTGATGAATCTGATTACGTTAGGAACATAAATGTATGAGCCTGTTATTATATGTGCAGGGGGATGGGGGGAGTGCAGGTTTGGTTTGGGCCAGGTTTGGGATATGAAAGAGTGGCAGAAACGGAAACAGGGAGTAGATGTGTTGCCACCTGCTTGTGTTCAGCCATGCGCAGGGCAAGACATGAGGGAGAAGAAGAGAGAGAAACAGACGCACAAGGAGGGAGCGCATGTTCCATTTTCTCCTGTCGACAACACGAGGCTATTTGCTACGACGCGTAGAGTGATAGATGACTTATAGATTTGATGACCTAGCGAATATGAATGTATGTGCTTGTTATTATATACGCAGGCGGGCAGAGAAAGGGGGGAGGGGTGAGGGAAAAGGGAGGGGAGTGGGGAGCAGAAGCAGAACAGAAGAGGGAGTGGTGGATGAGCTCTTGGCTCTCTGTGCTGTGCGCCCATCCCTGGTTGGCCATGCCATGCCATGCCCGGGAGGGATATGATAGATAGTAGGAAGCACAAAGTAGAAGCAGAAGCAGGAATGTGATATGACAGGGAGCAGATATGCATGGGCCATGCCCAGGGATTTCCAGGGCGGTTCGAGGGGGGCTGTGAGGGGCTGTGAGGAGAATTGGGGGGTAGGGGGGCCTTAGGGGGGCCTTGGGGGGGCTGTGGGGGGGTTTTTTCAGGATTTTAGGGGGGTTTTCTTCCCCTCTCTTGTACCCCATTTCTGCTTATTAACCAATCACAAGCAAGCTTTCTGCCATCACCTTTCCGATTACGCTCATGTTGTCGCCTTGCCGCCTGAGGAGGGGGAGGGGAGTAAGGGGGGAAGGGAGAGGAGAGCAGAAGGGAGAGCAAGGGGGGATGAGAGAGACGATATGCGCTGCTTGTTTTGATTTGCACACAGAAGGAGAGTGTGAGAAGGAGAGTGAGAGAAGGAGGGTGTGAGAAGGAGAGTGTGAGAAGGAGTGCCATACAGTGAAGTACTCGGGTATCTTGGGCACTGCAAAGCAGAAGCGTTGCAAGGAATGTGATCAAGATGATCCAGGTGGTCCGGGGCCCTCCTCCTGAAATACGTATGTCAAGATGTTGACCAGAGTGGGAGCCAGGGCAGTGTATGTAAGGGGTGGTGTATGTAGGGGTGGGCAGGGCAGGTGCAAACGTAGGGGATAATGAGTGACAGAAACTGAAGGGAGAGTGAGAATTGAATCAAAGAGGGGGAGAAAGAAGAAAACTGGCACAAGTTCACTACAGGTAGGCAGGATAAGTGACCAGCACAGGGGGGTGAAGTGACAAGGGCAGGGGGGTGAAGTGACAAGGGCAGGGGGGTGAAGTGACAAGGGCAGGGGGGTGAAGTGACAAGGGCAGGGGGGTGAAGTGACAAGGGCAGGGGGGTGAAGTGACAAGGGCAGGGGGGTGAAGTGACAAGGGCAGGGGGGTGAAGTGACAAGGGCAGGGGGGTGAAGTGATGAGACGTGCTTTCCTCACACCCACTGCCCCACACCCACTGCCCCACACCCACTGCCCCACACCCACTGCCCCACACCCACTGCCCCACACCCACTGCCTCACTCCCACTGCCCCACACCCACTGCCCCACACCCACTGCCCCACACCCACTGCCTCACACCCACTGCCCCACACCCACTGCCCCACACCCACTGCCCCACACCCACTGCCCCACACCCACTGCCCCACACCCACTGCCCCACACCCACTGCCCCACACCCACTGCCCCACACCCACTGCCCCACACCCACTACCCCACACCCACCGAGTGGCTGACTGCTGGGTGGCCTTGGCATGCCGCAGCACCGCCTCTGCCAACTCACACGGCGACACCCTTCCCTGCTCTCCCCCTGCCTCCCCTTTCTCCCCCTCCCCTCCCTGTCCCTCCTTCTCCGGTTCCTTCTCTCCTCCTCCTGTAACCTCTTCCTCCTGCTCTTTCTCCTGCTCCTTTTCCCCGGCCTTATCCCCCTCCTTCCCCTCCTTGTCTCCTTCACCCTTCTCCTCCTCCTTTTCCCCTTCCTCCGTCTTCCCCACCTCCTCCTTCTCACCCTCCTCCTCCTTCTCCTCTCCCTCCTCCAACTGCTTTCCTCCCTTCTCTCCCTTCCCCCCCTTCCTGGCATCCTCTCTAATCCTCACGAACAGCAGTGCCTTGCACCCAGACTCCACACTCACGAACCGAGGCTGAGGGACGTCAAGGGGCGGGCGAATGGTAGGGGCAAGGGGAGGGAGAAAGACGAGTGGAGGGAGAAAGACGAGCGGAGGGAGAGGAGACGTGATTGGAAATTGCACTGAGCATTCTCACGAACAGCAGCGCCTTGCACCCAGAGTCCACACTCGCGAACCAAGGCTGTGGGATGTCGAGGGGAGGGCGAACAGCAGGGGCAAGGGGAGGGAGAAAGACGAGCAGAGAAAGGGGAGTGAGAGGGAGAGGGAGGGGTGATGATGGATCCTCAGAAACAGCGGCGCCTTGCACCTAGACTCCACACTCACAAACCGAGGCTGAGAGGGAAGGGGAGGGACAAGACGAGGGACAAAGGAAAAAAAAAAAACGTTTTTTCTCAAACAGCAGTGCCTTGCACCCAGACTCCACACTCACAAACCGAGGCTGAGGGATGTCAAGGGGCGGGCGAACAGGAGGGGCGAGGGGAGGGCAAACGGTAGGGGCAAGGGGAGGGAGAAAGACGATGGGAGAGAGAGGAGGAGCGATAAGGGTTTCCACTTAGCATTCTCGCAAACAGCGGCGCCTTGCAGCCAGCAAGAGTCCAAACAGCAGCGCCTTGCAGCCAGCGAGACTCCACACCCCGAAGTGAGACCAGGTGAGAGCGTTCAGTCAGGTGACTTTTGAGTCGACTCAAAAGTCACCAGGTGAGAGCGTTCAGGACAAGGGGAGGGACAAGACGAGGGGCAAGGGGAGGAAGAGGGAGGGAAAAGAGGATTGCGAGAGAGGGAAGTGATGGGTGTTTGTGCTGGGCATTTATGCGAACAGCAGCGCCTTGCACCCAGACTACACACTCATGAACCGAGGCTGAGGGGCATGCACAAGGAAGGGAGGGAGAAGAGAAAGGAGGGAACAAGGAGGCGAGGATGCACAAGGGGAACAAAACAGGGGCACCTGGTAGCCTGAGACGTCTCAAAACAGGGGCACCTGGTAGCCTGAGACGTCTCAAAACAGGGGCACCTGGTAGCCTGAGACGTCTCAAAACAGGGGCACCTGGTAGCCTGAGACGTCTCAAAACAGGGGCACCTGGTAGCCTGAGGTCACGATTGCAATCGAGCCTGGGGGACACAGGGAGAGGGAGGGATACGAGGGGAGGGAGTGGGAGGGAGATAAGGGGAGGGTGAAGGAACAACAAGGGGAAAGGAGGGAAAAGGCACCCACCTACCCATCCCACGCACCTGTGAGCCGCTGCAAAACACACACACCTGTTTCCTCAACCCCCTCTCCACACGCACGCACCTGTTTCTTGAGTGCTGCCACTTCATTCGCCAGCAGCGCATCGATGGACGAACCCCCCTTCGCCTTCCCTGCAGATGCACCTTCCCCAGTCCGTGCCTCCCCCTCCCCCTCCCCCTGCGCCTTGCCAGCCTCCAGCTTGTCACACCACTGTGTGTGGGGCAAACAGGGATAAAGCAACATCATCTCAGTCAGATAAGCCCTCCCCAGCCACCTTCCCCAGTGCTTGCCTCCCCCTCAGCCCGCACCTTCATGGGCACCAGATTGTCGCTCAACGGTGTGTGGGGCAAGCAGTGGAGATGGAAGGAGTAGGAACAACATCAGCTCAGTTAGAAAAGCCCTCCCCAGCCACCTTCCCCAGTGCTTGCCTCACCCTATCCGTTCCTCTGCGCCTTGCTGCCTCCAGCTTGTCACACCACTGTGTGTGGGGCGAACAGAGGAGAAAGCAACATCAGCTCAGTCAGATAAGCCCTCCCCAGCCACCTTCCCCAGTGCTTGCCTCCCCCTCAGCCCGCGCCTTCACGGGCACCAGCTTGCCGCCGCACAACGGCGTGTGGGGCAAGCAGGGGAGATGGAAGGAAGAAAAGCAAAAACAGCTCAGTCAGATAGGCCCTCCACAACCACTTTCCCCAGTGCTTGCCCAGTCATCTATCTACCTACCCTCCAGGTTCTATCGTTTGCCTGTGCGCTCCACTCACCTCCTTGCCACCTCACCTCATCAAGCTGATCCCCTGTGCATGTCACCTCACAAGCTGATCTCCTGATCACCTCTTACCACCCCCCCCACCCCTCCTCTCCCTCACTGTGTGCTCGTGCCTCACCTCATCGAGCACGTTCACAATCTCCCGCCCGCACTCTCTCTCCCTGCCGGTCACACTCGACACCAGCCACCCCCTGCTGCCATTCGCGATAGGGCCCGCTCCCCCTCCACTCTGAGGCGCACGAGAGGGAGGCGCAGAAGAGGGAAGGAGGAGGATCAAAGGAACAATTTACTTTGTTTCGACTCCAACAACAACAAGCCCGCACTCTCTCTCCCTGCTGGTCACACTCTACACCAGCCACCCCCTGTTGCCATTCGCGATGGGGCCCGCTCCCCCTCCACTCTGAGGCGCACGAGAGGGAGGAGCAGAAGGGGGAGGGGCACGAGGGGGAGGGGCGGAGCAGAAGGAGCAGAGGGGGGAGGAGCAGAAGACGGAGGAGCAGAGGGGGGAGGAGAAGAATGGGGAGGAGGAGAAGGGGGAGGAGGAGAAATGAGGGAGGGGAGAAGGGTGAGGAGGAACAGCAGGTGGGGGCACAGAAGGGAGAGGAGGAGAGGAGCAGAAGGGGGGGGAGCAGAAGTAAGAAACGGTTGCAAACCACCTCCAATCCCTCCCCCTGCCAGCCCCCTTGCTGCCATACATTCTGGGCGCCGCCTTCTCCCCATTCTGGATCATAGGGTTTAGGGTGAAGGAGCAAAGGAAGAAACAATCGATCCTTCACCTGCACTCTCGCTCCCTGCCTGCTGCTGCCCGCCGCCACTTCGAAAGAGGAGATCGAGGTTGGGGTTTTGGGTGCATGGGAGAGAGCGAGCAACAACAAAGGGTTTCGGGTTTTGGGTGCATGGGAGAGAGCGAGCAACAACCAAGAGTTTCGGGTTTTGGTTGCATGGCAACGGAGATTCGTGGGCCGGGATGTGGGAGGGAAGAGAGACGGCGGGGGTGGGGGGAGGGGAAGGGGGACAGCAGGGGTGGGGGGAGGGGAAGGGGGACAGCGGGCGACACGGGCCGGACGGGTGAGGACCAGAGGAGAGAGGCGACGGCGGGAAAATCCGCTCTGTGTAAGACCAAGTGCTCAAAGCGATATCAGGACCAGAGGGGAGAGGCGACAGCGGAAAAATCTGCTCTGTGTAAACCTAAGTGATCAAGGCGATCTGAGGACCAGAGGGGAGAGGCGGCGCCGTGGGAGCACACGATGGGAGGAGGAGAAGAGAAGGGGGGAGGGAAGACGGAGGTGTGTGCGCGAGCGGGAGGAGAGGGCACGAAAGGAAAGGGGGGGAAGGGGTTGAAGAGGAAGGGCGGGAAGTGGGGCGGATCGGGCTGGTGAGCGCACGCCGCCGCGGAGATCACAGCGGCGACGCCGCCAAGATCATAGCAGCGGCGACGCGCAACGGATGCTGCCGCGACTCGCGACCGAAACGCGACTGAACGCGCCTGCAGAATTGTCGCTGATTATCGTCGTTATTCGTCTGTCAGCCAAGAAAAACATTGGTACACGCCTGCCGGCGGTTTATGTTGACTAATGCGTCGCGACATAAGTTTAAAGGCTCACAGCGTTCAGGTATCGCGACTTGTGCCGCTTCGATTTCCCCCGACCTCCATTACCGCTCCGATTGCCCTCCGCCTCGCGCTTTCCGCGACCCATGTGCGATTGTATGGCCGTGGCTACTGATCAAACGAAGGAAACGCTCAATGGCTGATTTTCACAACCAACAATTGATGCAATTAAAACGAATGTCTCTCAGGACCTGTAGCACAAACCTCCAATCATAGATTATAAGCGGGGTTCAGTGCCCGCCTGGTCCTTTTGTTTTATCCACCTCTCAAGGCTCCGTTTCCATTCAAATCTTATCTAAAGGTGTTTTCTTACTGCTCTGGGGCATTCTTCTTTCATATCATACTCGTCGTCGCATCCCTTCTTGTTGTAAGCCTCAGCCATCTTGACTGGTTTTTTCCGGACGTGCTTGTCGTCTACACCTTCGTTGTGTTGCTTCGTTGGTGTAGAAGATTTTTCTTTACTGGCACACCTCGACCACCACACTGGCACGCCCCATGCCCTGTCACCTCACCCATGTGCTCTACAGCAGGGCTACTGGCGTCACGCCCCACCACCAGCACCAGGCTATCAGCAGCGAGTCCAGCACCCACACACCCCGTGCCCTGCTCTGCTGCAACACTCACCTGCTCTGCCGCACCACTCACCTGCTCTGCTGCACCACTCACCTGCTCTGCTGCACCACTCACCTGCTCTGCCGCACCACTCACCTGCTCTGCCGCACCACTCACCTGCTCTGCTGCACCACTCACCTGCTCTGCTGCACCACTCACCTGCTCTGCTGCACCACTCACCTGCTCTGCTGCACCACTCACCTGCTCTGCTGCACCACTCACCTGCTCTGCTGCACCACTCACCTGCTCTGCTGCACCACTCACCTGCTCTGCTGCACCACTCACCTGCTCTGCTGCACCACTCACCTGCTCTGCTGCACCACTCACCTGCTCTGCTGCACCACCTGCTCTGCCGCACCACTCACCTGCTCTGCCGCACCACTCACCTGCTCTGCTGCACCACTCACCTGCTCTGCTGCACCACTCACCTGCTCTGCTGCACCACTCACCTGCTCTGCCGCACCACTCACCTGCTCTGCTGCACCACTCACCTGCTCTGCTGCACCACTCACCTGCTCTGCTGCACCACTCACCTGCTCTGCTGCACCACTCACCTGCTCTGCTGCACCACTCACCTGCTCTGCTGCACCACTCACCTGCTCTGCTGCACCACTGACCTGCTCTGCTGCACCACTCACCTGCTCTGCTGCACCACTCACCTGCTCTGCCGCACCACTCACCTGCTCTGCCGCACCACTCACCTGCTCTGCTGCACCACTCACCTGCTCTGCTGCACCACTCACCTGCTCTGCCGCACCACTCACCTGCTCTGCCGCACCACTCACCTGCTCTGTTGCACCACTCACCTGCTCTGCCGCACCACTCACCTGCTCTGCCGCACCACTCACCTGCTCTGCCGCACCACTCACCTGCTCTGCTGCACCACTCACCTGCTCTGCTGCACCACTCACCTGCTCTGCTGCACCACTCACCTGCTCTGCTGCACCACTCACCTGCTCTGCTGCACCACTCACCTGCTCTGCTGCACCACTCACCTGCTCTGTCGCACCACTCACCTGCTCTGCTGCACCACTCACCTGCTCTGCTGCACCACTCACCTGCTCTGCTGCACCACTCACCTGCTCTGCCGCACCACTCACCTGCTCTGCTGCACCACTCACCTGCTCTGCTGCACCACTCACCTGCTCTGCTGCACCACTCACCTGCTCTTCTGCACCACTCACCTGCTCTGCCGCACCACTCACCTGCTCTGCCGCACCACTCACCTGCTCTGCTGCACCACTCACCTGCTCTGCTGCACCACTCACCTGCTCTGCTGCACCACTCACCTGCTCTGCTGCACCACTCACCTGCTCTGCCGCACCACTCATCTGCTCTGCCGCACCACTCACCTGCTCTGCTGCACCACTCACCTGCTCTGCTGCACCACTCACCTGCTCTGCCGCACCACTCACCTGCTCTGCTGCACCACTCACCTGCTCTGCCGCACCACTCACCTGCTCTGCCGCACCACTCACCTGCTCTGCCGCACCACTCACCTGCTCTGCCGCACCACTCACCTGCTCTGCCGCACCACTCACCTGCTCTGCCGCACCACTCACCTGCTCTGCCGCACCACTCACCTGCTCTGCCGCACCACTCACCTGCTCTGCCGCACCACTCACCTGCTCTGCCGCACCACTCACCTGCTCTGCCGCACCACTCACCTGCTCTGCCGCACCACTCACCTGCTCTGCCGCACCACTCACCTGCTCTGCCGCACCACTCACCTGCTCTGCCGCACCACTCACCTGCTCTGCCGCACCGCTCACCTGCTCTGCCGCACCACTCACCTGCTCTGCCGCACCACTCACCTGCTCTGCCGCACCACTCACCTGCTCTGCCGCACCACTCACCTGCTCTGCTGCACCACTCACCTGCTCTGCCGCACCACTCACCTGCTCTGCCGCACCACTCACCTGCTCAGCCGCACCACTCACCTGCTCTGCCGCACCACTCACCTGCTCTGCCGCACCACTCACCTGCTCTGCCGCACCACTCACCTGCTCTGCCGCACCACTCACCTGCTCTGCCGCACCACTCACCTGCTCTGCCGCACCACTCACCTGCTCTGCCGCACCACTCACCTGCTCTGCTGCACCACTCACCTGCTCTGCCGCACCACTCACCTGCTCTGCCGCACCACTCACCTGCTCTGCCGCACCACTCACCTGCTCTGCCGCACCACTCACCTGCTCTGCTGCACCACTCACCTGCTCTGCTGCACCACTCACCTGCTCTGCTGCACCACTCACCTGCTCTGCCGCACCACTCACCTGCTCTGCTGCACCACTCACCTGCTCTGCCGCACCACTCACCTGCTCTGCTGCACCACTCACCTGCTCTGCTGCACCACTCACCTGCTCTGCTGCACCACTCACCTGCTCTGCTGCACCACTCACCTGCTCTGCCGCACCACTCACCTGCTCTGCCGCACCACTCACCTGCTCTGCTGCACCACTCACCTGCTCTGCTGCACCACTCACCTGCTCTGCTGCACCACTCACCTGCTCTGCTGCACCACTCACCTTCTCTGCCGCACCACTCACCTGCTCTGCTGCACCACTCACCTGCTCTGCTGCACCACTCACCTGCTCTGCTGCACCACTCACCTGCTCTGCCGCACCACTCACCTGCTCTGCCGCACCACTCACCTGCTCTGCCGCACCACTCACCTGCTCTGCCGCACCACTCACCTGCTCTGCCGCACCACTCACCTGCTCTGCTGCACCACTCACCTGCTCTGCTGCACCACTCACCTGCTCTGCCGCACCACTCACCTGCTCTGCTGCACCACTCACCTGCTCTGCCGCACCACTCACCTGCTCTGCCGCACCACTCACCTGCTCTGCTGCACCACTCACCTGCTCTGCTGCACCACTCACCTGCTCTGCCGCACCACTCACCTGCTCTGCCGCACCACTCACCTGCTCTGCTGCACCACTCACCTGCTCTGCTGCACCACTCACCTGCTCTGCTGCACCACTCACCTGCTCTGCTGCACCACTCACCTGCTCTGCTGCACCACTCACCTGCTCTGCTGCACCACTCACCTGCTCTGCTGCACCACTCACCTGCTCTGCTGCACCACTCACCTGCTCTGCTGCACCACTCACCTGCTCTGCTGCACCACTCACCTGCTCTGCTGCACCACCTGCTCTGCCGCACCACTCACCTGCTCTGCCGCACCACTCACCTGCTCTGCTGCACCACTCACCTGCTCTGCTGCACCACTCACCTGCTCTGCTGCACCACTCACCTGCTCTGCCGCACCACTCACCTGCTCTGCTGCACCACTCACCTGCTCTGCTGCACCACTCACCTGCTCTGCTGCACCACTCACCTGCTCTGCTGCACCACTCACCTGCTCTGCTGCACCACTCACCTGCTCTGCTGCACCACTCACCTGCTCTGCTGCACCACTCACCTGCTCTGCTGCACCACTCACCTGCTCTGCTGCACCACTCACCTGCTCTGCCGCACCACTCACCTGCTCTGCCGCACCACTCACCTGCTCTGCTGCACCACTCACCTGCTCTGCTGCACCACTCACCTGCTCTGCCGCACCACTCACCTGCTCTGCCGCACCACTCACCTGCTCTGTTGCACCACTCACCTGCTCTGCCGCACCACTCACCTGCTCTGCCGCACCACTCACCTGCTCTGCCGCACCACTCATCACCTGCTCTGCTGCACCACTCACCTGCTCTGCTGCACCACTCACCTGCTCTGCTGCACCACTCACCTGCTCTGCTGCACCACTCACCTGCTCTGCTGCACCACTCACCTGCTCTGTCGCACCACTCACCTGCTCTGCTGCACCACTCACCTGCTCTGCTGCACCACTCACCTGCTCTGCTGCACCACTCACCTGCTCTGCCGCACCACTCACCTGCTCTGCTGCACCACTCACCTGCTCTGCTGCACCACTCACCTGCTCTGCTGCACCACTCACCTGCTCTTCTGCACCACTCACCTGCTCTGCCGCACCACTCACCTGCTCTGCCGCACCACTCACCTGCTCTGCTGCACCACTCACCTGCTCTGCTGCACCACTCACCTGCTCTGCTGCACCACTCACCTGCTCTGCTGCACCACTCACCTGCTCTGCCGCACCACTCATCTGCTCTGCCGCACCACTCACCTGCTCTGCTGCACCACTCACCTGCTCTGCTGCACCACTCACCTGCTCTGCCGCACCACTCACCTGCTCTGCTGCACCACTCACCTGCTCTGCCGCACCACTCACCTGCTCTGCCGCACCACTCACCTGCTCTGCCGCACCACTCACCTGCTCTGCCGCACCACTCACCTGCTCTGCCGCACCACTCACCTGCTCTGCCGCACCACTCACCTGCTCTGCTGCACCACTCACCTGCTCTGCCGCACCACTCACCTGCTCAGCCGCACCACTCACCTGCTCTGCCGCACCACTCACCTGCTCTGCCGCACCACTCACCTGCTCTGCCGCACCACTCACCTGCTCTGCCGCACCGCTCACCTGCTCTGCCGCACCACTCACCTGCTCTGCCGCACCACTCACCTGCTCTGCCGCACCACTCACCTGCTCTGCCGCACCACTCACCTGCTCTGCTGCACCACTCACCTGCTCTGCCGCACCACTCACCTGCTCTGCCGCACCACTCACCTGCTCAGCCGCACCACTCACCTGCTCTGCCGCACCACTCACCTGCTCTGCCGCACCACTCACCTGCTCTGCCGCACCACTCACCTGCTCTGCCGCACCACTCACCTGCTCTGCCGCACCACTCACCTGCTCTGCCGCACCACTCACCTGCTCTGCCGCACCACTCACCTGCTCTGCCGCACCACTCACCTGCTCTGCTGCACCACTCACCTGCTCTGCCGCACCACTCACCTGCTCTGCCGCACCACTCACCTGCTCTGCCGCACCACTCACCTGCTCTGCCGCACCACTCACCTGCTCTGCTGCACCACTCACCTGCTCTGCTGCACCACTCACCTGCTCTGCTGCACCACTCACCTGCTCTGCCGCACCACTCACCTGCTCTGCTGCACCACTCACCTGCTCTGCCGCACCACTCACCTGCTCTGCTGCACCACTCACCTGCTCTGCTGCACCACTCACCTGCTCTGCTGCACCACTCACCTGCTCTGCTGCACCACTCACCTGCTCTGCCGCACCACTCACCTGCTCTGCCGCACCACTCACCTGCTCTGCTGCACCACTCACCTGCTCTGCTGCACCACTCACCTGCTCTGCTGCACCACTCACCTGCTCTGCTGCACCACTCACCTTCTCTGCCGCACCACTCACCTGCTCTGCTGCACCACTCACCTGCTCTGCTGCACCACTCACCTGCTCTGCTGCACCACTCACCTGCTCTGCCGCACCACTCACCTGCTCTGCCGCACCACTCACCTGCTCTGCCGCACCACTCACCTGCTCTGCCGCACCACTCACCTGCTCTGCCGCACCACTCACCTGCTCTGCTGCACCACTCACCTGCTCTGCTGCACCACTCACCTGCTCTGCCGCACCACTCACCTGCTCTGCTGCACCACTCACCTGCTCTGCCGCACCACTCACCTGCTCTGCCGCACCACTCACCTGCTCTGCTGCACCACTCACCTGCTCTGCTGCACCACTCACCTGCTCTGCCGCACCACTCACCTGCTCTGCCGCACCACTCACCTGCTCTGCTGCACCACTCACCTGCTCTGCTGCACCACTCACCTGCTCTGCTGCACCACTCACCTGCTCTGCTGCACCACTCACCTGCTCTGCTGCACCACTCACCTGCTCTGCTGCACCACTCACCTGCTCTGCTGCACCACTCACCTGCTCTGCTGCACCACTCACCTGCTCTGCTGCACCACTCACCTGCTCTGCTGCACCACTCACCTGCTCTGCTGCACCACCTGCTCTGCCGCACCACTCACCTGCTCTGCCGCACCACTCACCTGCTCTGCTGCACCACTCACCTGCTCTGCTGCACCACTCAACTGCTCTGCTGCACCACTCACCTGCTCTGCCGCACCACTCACCTGCTCTGCTGCACCACTCACCTGCTCTGCTGCACCACTCACCTGCTCTGCTGCACCACTCACCTGCTCTGCTGCACCACTCACCTGCTCTGCTGCACCACTCACCTGCTCTGCTGCACCACTCACCTGCTCTGCTGCACCACTCACCTGCTCTGCTGCACCACTCACCTGCTCTGCTGCACCACTCACCTGCTCTGCCGCACCACTCACCTGCTCTGCCGCACCACTCACCTGCTCTGCTGCACCACTCACCTGCTCTGCTGCACCACTCACCTGCTCTGCCGCACCACTCACCTGCTCTGCCGCACCACTCACCTGCTCTGTTGCACCACTCACCTGCTCTGCCGCACCACTCACCTGCTCTGCCGCACCACTCACCTGCTCTGCCGCACCACTCACCTGCTCTGCTGCACCACTCACCTGCTCTGCTGCACCACTCACCTGCTCTGCTGCACCACTCACCTGCTCTGCTGCACCACTCACCTGCTCTGCTGCACCACTCACCTGCTCTGCTGCACCACTCACCTGCTCTGTCGCACCACTCACCTGCTCTGCTGCACCACTCACCTGCTCTGCTGCACCACTCACCTGCTCTGCTGCACCACTCACCTGCTCTGCCGCACCACTCACCTGCTCTGCTGCACCACTCACCTGCTCTGCTGCACCACTCACCTGCTCTGCTGCACCACTCACCTGCTCTTCTGCACCACTCACCTGCTCTGCCGCACCACTCACCTGCTCTGCCGCACCACTCACCTGCTCTGCCGCACCACTCACCTGCTCTGCCGCACCACTCACCTGCTCTGCCGCACCACTCACCTGCTCTGCCGCACCACTCACCTGCTCTGCCGCACCACTCACCTGCTCTGCTGCACCACTCACCTGCTCTGCCGCACCACTCACCTGCTCTGCCGCACCACTCACCTGCTCTGCCGCACCACTCACCTGCTCTGCCGCACCACTCACCTGCTCTGCTGCACCACTCACCTGCTCTGCTGCACCACTCACCTGCTCTGCTGCACCACTCACCTGCTCTGCCGCACCACTCACCTGCTCTGCTGCACCACTCACCTGCTCTGCCGCACCACTCACCTGCTCTGCTGCACCACTCACCTGCTCTGCTGCACCACTCACCTGCTCTGCTGCACCACTCACCTGCTCTGCTGCACCACTCACCTGCTCTGCCGCACCACTCACCTGCTCTGCCGCACCACTCACCTGCTCTGCTGCACCACTCACCTGCTCTGCTGCACCACTCACCTGCTCTGCTGCACCACTCACCTGCTCTGCTGCACCACTCACCTTCTCTGCCGCACCACTCACCTGCTCTGCTGCACCACTCACCTGCTCTGCTGCACCACTCACCTGCTCTGCTGCACCACTCACCTGCTCTGCCGCACCACTCACCTGCTCTGCCGCACCACTCACCTGCTCTGCCGCACCACTCACCTGCTCTGCCGCACCACTCACCTGCTCTGCCGCACCACTCACCTGCTCTGCTGCACCACTCACCTGCTCTGCTGCACCACTCACCTGCTCTGCCGCACCACTCACCTGCTCTGCTGCACCACTCACCTGCTCTGCCGCACCACTCACCTGCTCTGCTGCACCACTCACCTGCTCTGCTGCACCACTCACCTGCTCTGCTGCACCACTCACCTGCTCTGCTGCACCACTCACCTGCTCTGCCGCACCACTCACCTGCTCTGCCGCACCACTCACCTGCTCTGCTGCACCACTCACCTGCTCTGCTGCACCACTCACCTGCTCTGCTGCACCACTCACCTGCTCTGCTGCACCACTCACCTGCTCTGCTGCACCACTCACCTGCTCTGCTGCACCACTCACCTGCTCTGCTGCACCACTCACCTGCTCTGCTGCACCACTCACCTGCTCTGCTGCACCACTCACCTGCTCTGCTGCACCACCTGCTCTGCCGCACCACTCACCTGCTCTGCCGCACCACTCACCTGCTCTGCTGCACCACTCACCTGCTCTGCTGCACCACTCACCTGCTCTGCTGCACCACTCACCTGCTCTGCCGCACCACTCACCTGCTCTGCTGCACCACTCACCTGCTCTGCTGCACCACTCACCTGCTCTGCTGCACCACTCACCTGCTCTGCTGCACCACTCACCTGCTCTGCTGCACCACTCACCTGCTCTGCTGCACCACTCACCTGCTCTGCTGCACCACTCACCTGCTCTGCTGCACCACTCACCTGCTCTGCTGCACCACTCACCTGCTCTGCCGCACCACTCACCTGCTCTGCCGCACCACTCACCTGCTCTGCTGCACCACTCACCTGCTCTGCTGCACCACTCACCTGCTCTGCCGCACCACTCACCTGCTCTGCCGCACCACTCACCTGCTCTGTTGCACCACTCACCTGCTCTGCCGCACCACTCACCTGCTCTGCTGCACCACTCACCTGCTCTGCTGCACCACTCACCTGCTCTGCCGCACCACTCACCTGCTCTGCTGCACCACTCACCTGCTCTGCCGCACCACTCACCTGCTCTGCCGCACCACTCACCTGCTCTGCTGCACCACTCACCTGCTCTGCTGCACCACTCACCTGCTCTGCTGCACCACTCACCTGCTCTGCTGCACCACTCACCTGCTCTGCTGCACCACTCACCTGCTCTGCTGCACCACTCACCTGCTCTGTCGCACCACTCACCTGCTCTGCTGCACCACTCACCTGCTCTGCTGCACCACTCACCTGCTCTGCTGCACCACTCACCTGCTCTGCCGCACCACTCACCTGCTCTGCTGCACCACTCACCTGCTCTGCTGCACCACTCACCTGCTCTGCTGCACCACTCACCTGCTCTTCTGCACCACTCACCTGCTCTGCCGCACCACTCACCTGCTCTGCCGCACCACTCACCTGCTCTGCTGCACCACTCACCTGCTCTGCTGCACCACTCACCTGCTCTGCTGCACCACTCACCTGCTCTGCTGCACCACTCACCTGCTCTGCCGCACCACTCATCTGCTCTGCCGCACCACTCACCTGCTCTGCTGCACCACTCACCTGCTCTGCTGCACCACTCACCTGCTCTGCCGCACCACTCACCTGCTCTGCTGCACCACTCACCTGCTCTGCCGCACCACTCACCTGCTCTGCCGCACCACTCACCTGCTCTGCCGCACCACTCACCTGCTCTGCCGCACCACTCACCTGCTCTGCCGCACCACTCACCTGCTCTGCCGCACCACTCACCTGCTCTGCCGCACCACTCACCTGCTCTGCCGCACCACTCACCTGCTCTGCCGCACCACTCACCTGCTCTGCCGCACCACTCACCTGCTCTGCCGCACCACTCACCTGCTCTGCCGCACCACTCACCTGCTCTGCCGCACCACTCACCTGCTCTGCCGCACCACTCACCTGCTCTGCCGCACCACTCACCTGCTCTGCCGCACCACTCACCTGCTCTGCCGCACCACTCACCTGCTCTGCCGCACCACTCACCTGCTCTGCCGCACCACTCACCTGCTCTGCCGCACCACTCACCTGCTCTGCCGCACCACTCACCTGCTCTGCCGCACCACTCACCTGCTCTGCCGCACCACTCACCTGCTCTGCCGCACCACTCACCTGCTCTGCCGCACCACTCACCTGCTCTGCCGCACCACTCACCTGCTCTGCCGCACCACTCACCTGCTCTGCCGCACCACTCACCTGCTCTGCCGCACCACTCACCTGCTCTGCCGCACCACTCACCTGCTCTGCCGCACCACTCACCTGCTCTGCTGCACCACTCACCTGCTCTGCCGCACCACTCACCTGCTCTGCCGCACCACTCACCTGCTCTGCCGCACCACTCACCTGCTCTGCCGCACCACTCACCTGCTCTGCTGCACCACTCACCTGCTCTGCTGCACCACTCACCTGCTCTGCTGCACCACTCACCTGCTCTGCCGCACCACTCACCTGCTCTGCTGCACCACTCACCTGCTCTGCCGCACCACTCACCTGCTCTGCTGCACCACTCACCTGCTCTGCTGCACCACTCACCTGCTCTGCTGCACCACTCACCTGCTCTGCTGCACCACTCACCTGCTCTGCCGCACCACTCACCTGCTCTGCCGCACCACTCACCTGCTCTGCTGCACCACTCACCTGCTCTGCTGCACCACTCACCTGCTCTGCTGCACCACTCACCTGCTCTGCTGCACCACTCACCTTCTCTGCCGCACCACTCACCTGCTCTGCTGCACCACTCACCTGCTCTGCTGCACCACTCACCTGCTCTGCTGCACCACTCACCTGCTCTGCCGCACCACTCACCTGCTCTGCCGCACCACTCACCTGCTCTGCCGCACCACTCACCTTCTCTGCCGCACCACTCACCTGCTCTGCCGCACCACTCACCTGCTCTGCTGCACCACTCACCTGCTCTGCTGCACCACTCACCTGCTCTGCCGCACCACTCACCTGCTCTGCTGCACCACTCACCTGCTCTGCCGCACCACTCACCTGCTCTGCCGCACCACTCACCTGCTCTGCTGCACCACTCACCTGCTCTGCTGCACCACTCACCTGCTCTGCCGCACCACTCACCTGCTCTGCTGCACCACTCACCTGCTCTGCTGCACCACTCACCTGCTCTGCTGCACCACTCACCTGCTCTGCCGCACCACTCACCTGCTCTGCTGCACCACTCACCTGCTCTGCTGCACCACTCACCTGCTCTGCTGCACCACTCATCTGCTCTGCTGCACCACTCACCTGCTCTGCTGCACCACTCACCTGCTCTGCTGCACCACTCACCTGCTCTGCTGCACCACTCACCTGCTCTGCTGCACCACTCACCTGCTCTGCCGCACCACTCACCTGCTCTGCCGCACCACTCACCTGCTCTGCTGCACCACTCACCTGCTCTGCTGCACCACTCACCTGCTCTGCCGCACCACTCACCTGCTCTGCCGCACCACTCACCTGCTCTGCCGCACCACTCACCTGCTCTGCTGCACCACTCACCTGCTCTGCTGCACCACTCACCTGCTCTGCTGCACCACTCACCTGCTCTGCTGCACCACTCACCTGCTCTGCCGCACCACTCACCTGCTCTGCCGCACCACTCACCTGCTCTGCCGCACCACTCACCTGCTCTGCCGCACCACTCACCTGCTCTGCTGCACCACTCACCTGCTCTGCTGCACCACTCACCTGCTCTGCTGCACCACTCACCTGCTCTGCCGCACCACTCACCTGCTCTGCTGCACCACTCACCTGCTCTGCCGCACCACTCACCTGCTCTGCTGCACCACTCACCTGCTCTGCTGCACCACTCACCTGCTCTGCTGCACCACTCACCTGCTCTGCTGCACCACTCACCTGCTCTGCTGCACCACTCACCTGCTCTGCCGCACCACTCACCTGCTCTGCTGCACCACTCACCTGCTCTGCTGCACCACTCACCTGCTCTGCTGCACCACTCACCTGCTCTGCTGCACCACTCACCTGCTCTGCCGCACCACTCACCTGCTCTGCTGCACCACTCACCTGCTCTGCTGCACCACTCACCTGCTCTGCTGCACCACTCACCTGCTCTGCTGCACCACTCACCTGCTCTGCCGCACCACTCACCTGCTCTGCCGCACCACTCACCTGCTCTGCTGCACCACTCACCTGCTCTGCTGCACCACTCACCTGCTCTGCTGCACCACTCACCTGCTCTGCCGCACCACTCACCTGCTCTGCCGCACCACTCACCTGCTCTGCCGCACCACTCACCTGCTCTGCCGCACCACTCACCTGCTCTGCCGCACCACTCACCTGCTCTGCTGCACCACTCACCTGCTCTGCTGCACCACTCACCTGATCTGCCGCACCACTCACCTGCTCTGCTGCACCACTCACCTGCTCTGCTGCACCACTCACCTGCTCTGCTGCACCACTCACCTGCTCTGCTGCACCACTCACCTGCTCTGCCGCACCACTCACCTGCTCTGCTGCACCACTCACCTGCTCTGCTGCACCACTCACCTGCTCTGCTGCACCACTCACCTGCTCTGCTGCACCACTCACCTGCTCTGCCGCACCACTCACCTGCTCTGCTGCACCACTCACCTGCTCTGCTGCACCACTCACCTGCTCTGCCGCACCACTCACCTGCTCTGCTGCACCACTCACCTGCTCTGCTGCACCACTCACCTGCTCTGCTGCACCACTCACCTGCTCTGCTGCACCACTCACCTGCTCTGCCGCACCACTCACCTGCTCTGCTGCACCACTCACCTGCTCTGCTGCACCACTCACCTGCTCTGCTGCACCACTCACCTGCTCTGCTGCACCACTCACCTGCTCTGCCGCACCACTCACCTGCTCTGCCGCACCACTCACCTGCTCTGCTGCACCACTCACCTGCTCTGCCGCACCACTCACCTGCTCTGCCGCACCACTCACCTGCTCTGCTGCACCACTCACCTGCTCTGCTGCACCACTCACCTGCTCTGCTGCACCACTCACCTGCTCTGCTGCACCACTCACCTGCTCTGCTGCACTACTCACCTGCTCTGCCGCACCACTCACCTGCTCTGCCGCACCACTCACCTGCTCTGCTGCACCACTCACCTGCTCTGCTGCACCACTCACCTGCTGTGCTGCACCACTCACCTGCTCTGCCGCACCACTCACCTGCTCTGCCGCACCACTCACCTGCTCTGCCGCACCACTCACCTGCTCTGCCGCACCACTCACCTGCTCTGCCGCTCCACTCACCTGCTCTGCTGCACCACTCACCTGCTCTGCTGCACCAGTCACCTGCTCTGCCGCACCACTCACCTGCTCTGCTGCACCACTCACCTGCTCTGCTGCACCACTCACCTGCTCTGCTGCACCACTCACCTGCTCTGCTGCACCAGTCACCTGCTCTGCTGCACCACTCACCTGCTCTGCTGCACCACTCACCTGCTCTGCCGCACCACTCACCTGCTCTGCTGCACCACTCACCTGCTCTGCTGCACCACTCACCTGCTCTGCTGCACCACTCACCTGCTCTGCCGCACCACTCACCTGCTCTGCCGCACCACTCACCTGCTCTGCCGCACCACTCACCTGCTCTGCCGCACCACTCACCTGCTCTGCCGCACCACTCACCTGCTCTGCCGCACCACTCACCTGCTCTGCCGCACCACTCACCTGCTCTGCTGCACCACTCACCTGCTCTGCTGCACCACTCACCTGCTCTGCTGCACCACTCACCTGCTCTGCCGCACCACTCACCTGCTCTGCTGCACCACTCACCTGCTCTGCCGCACCACTCACCTGCTCTGCTGCACCACTCACCTGCTCTGCTGCACCACTCACCTGCTCTGCTGCACCACTCACCTGCTCTGCTGCACCACTCACCTGCTCTGCCGCACCACTCACCTGCTCTGCCGCACCACTCACCTGCTCTGCTGCACCACTCACCTGCTCTGCTGCACCACTCACCTGCTCTGCCGCACCACTCACCTGCTCTGCCGCACCACTCACCTGCTCTGTTGCACCACTCACCTGCTCTGCCGCACCACTCACCTGCTCTGCCGCACCACTCACCTGCTCTGCCGCACCACTCACCTGCTCTGCTGCACCACTCACCTGCTCTGCTGCACCACTCACCTGCTCTGCTGCACCACTCACCTGCTCTGCTGCACCACTCACCTGCTCTGCTGCACCACTCACCTGCTCTGCTGCACCACTCACCTGCTCTGTCGCACCACTCACCTGCTCTGCTGCACCACTCACCTGCTCTGCTGCACCACTCACCTGCTCTGCTGCACCACTCACCTGCTCTGCCGCACCACTCACCTGCTCTGCTGCACCACTCACCTGCTCTGCTGCACCACTCACCTGCTCTGCTGCACCACTCACCTGCTCTTCTGCACCACTCACCTGCTCTGCCGCACCACTCACCTGCTCTGCCGCACCACTCACCTGCTCTGCTGCACCACTCACCTGCTCTGCTGCACCACTCACCTGCTCTGCTGCACCACTCACCTGCTCTGCTGCACCACTCACCTGCTCTGCCGCACCACTCATCTGCTCTGCCGCACCACTCACCTGCTCTGCTGCACCACTCACCTGCTCTGCTGCACCACTCACCTGCTCTGCCGCACCACTCACCTGCTCTGCTGCTCTGCCGCACCACTCACCTGCTCTGCCGCACCACTCACCTGCTCTGCCGCACCACTCACCTGCTCTGCCGCACCACTCACCTGCTCTGCCGCACCACTCACCTGCTCTGCCGCACCACTCACCTGCTCTGCCGCACCACTCACCTGCTCTGCCGCACCACTCACCTGCTCAGCCGCACCACTCACCTGCTCTGCCGCACCACTCACCTGCTCTGCCGCACCACTCACCTGCTCTGCCGCACCACTCACCTGCTCTGCCGCACCGCTCACCTGCTCTGCCGCACCACTCACCTGCTCTGCCGCACCACTCACCTGCTCTGCCGCACCACTCACCTGCTCTGCCGCACCACTCACCTGCTCTGCTGCACCACTCACCTGCTCTGCCGCACCACTCACCTGCTCTGCCGCACCACTCACCTGCTCTGCCGCACCACTCACCTGCTCTGCCGCACCACTCACCTGCTCTGCCGCACCACTCACCTGCTCTGCCGCACCACTCACCTGCTCTGCCGCACCACTCACCTGCTCTGCCGCACCACTCACCTGCTCTGCCGCACCACTCACCTGCTCTGCCGCACCACTCACCTGCTCTGCCTGCACCACTCACCTGCTCTGCCGCACCACTCACCTGCTCTGCCGCACCACTCACCTGCTCTGCCGCACCACTCACCTGCTCTGCCGCACCACTCACCTGCTCTGCTGCACCACTCACCTGCTCTGCTGCACCACTCACCTGCTCTGCTGCACCACTCACCTGCTCTGCCGCACCACTCACCTGCTCTGCTGCACCACTCACCTGCTCTGCCGCACCACTCACCTGCTCTGCTGCACCACTCACCTGCTCTGCTGCACCACTCACCTGCTCTGCTGCACCACTCACCTGCTCTGCTGCACCACTCACCTGCTCTGCCGCACCACTCACCTGCTCTGCCGCACCACTCACCTGCTCTGCTGCACCACTCACCTGCTCTGCTGCACCACTCACCTGCTCTGCTGCACCACCACCTGCTCTGCTGCACCACTCACCTGCTCTGCTGCACCACTCACCTTCTCTGCCGCACCACTCACCTGCTCTGCTGCACCACTCACCTGCTCTGCTGCACCACTCACCTGCTCTGCTGCACCACTCACCTGCTCTGCCGCACCACTCACCTGCTCTGCCGCACCACTCACCTGCTCTGCCGCACCACTCACCTGCTCTGCCGCACCACTCACCTGCTCTGCCGCACCACTCACCTGCTCTGCTGCACCACTCACCTGCTCTGCTGCACCACTCACCTGCTCTGCCGCACCACTCACCTGCTCTGCTGCACCACTCACCTGCTCTGCCGCACCACTCACCTGCTCTGCCGCACCACTCACCTGCTCTGCTGCACCACTCACCTGCTCTGCTGCACCACTCACCTGCTCTGCCGCACCACTCACCTGCTCTGCCGCACCACTCACCTGCTCTGCTGCACCACTCACCTGCTCTGCTGCACCACTCACCTGCTCTGCTGCACCACTCACCTGCTCTGCTGCACCACTCACCTGCTCTGCTGCACCACTCACCTGCTCTGCTGCACCACTCACCTGCTCTGCTGCACCACTCACCTGCTCTGCTGCACCACTCACCTGCTCTGCTGCACCACTCACCTGCTCTGCTGCACCACCTGCTCTGCCGCACCACTCACCTGCTCTGCCGCACCACTCACCTGCTCTGCTGCACCACTCACCTGCTCTGCTGCACCACTCAACTGCTCTGCTGCACCACTCACCTGCTCTGCCGCACCACTCACCTGCTCTGCTGCACCACTCACCTGCTCTGCTGCACCACTCACCTGCTCTGCTGCACCACTCACCTGCTCTGCTGCACCACTCACCTGCTCTGCTGCACCACTCACCTGCTCTGCTGCACCACTCACCTGCTCTGCTGCACCACTCACCTGCTCTGCTGCACCACTCACCTGCTCTGCTGCACCACTCACCTGCTCTGCCGCACCACTCACCTGCTCTGCCGCACCACTCACCTGCTCTGCTGCACCACTCACCTGCTCTGCTGCACCACTCACCTGCTCTGCCGCACCACTCACCTGCTCTGCCGCACCACTCACCTGCTCTGTTGCACCACTCACCTGCTCTGCCGCACCACTCACCTGCTCTGCCGCACCACTCACCTGCTCTGCCGCACCACTCACCTGCTCTGCTGCACCACTCACCTGCTCTGCTGCACCACTCACCTGCTCTGCTGCACCACTCACCTGCTCTGCTGCACCACTCACCTGCTCTGCTGCACCACTCACCTGCTCTGCTGCACCACTCACCTGCTCTGTCGCACCACTCACCTGCTCTGCTGCACCACTCACCTGCTCTGCTGCACCACTCACCTGCTCTGCTGCACCACTCACCTGCTCTGCCGCACCACTCACCTGCTCTGCTGCACCACTCACCTGCTCTGCTGCACCACTCACCTGCTCTGCTGCACCACTCACCTGCTCTTCTGCACCACTCACCTGCTCTGCTCCTGCTCTGCCGCACCACTCACCTGCTCTGCCTGCACCACTCACCTGCTCTGCTGCACCACTCACCTGCTCTGCTGCACCACTCACCTGCTCTGCTGCACCACTCACCTGCTCTGCCTGCACCACTCATCTGCTCTGCCGCACCACTCACCTGCTCTGCTGCACCACTCACCTGCTCTGCTGCACCACTCACCTGCTCTGCCGCACCACTCACCTGCTCTGCTGCACCACTCACCTGCTCTGCCTGCACCACTCACCTGCTCTGCCGCACCACTCACCTGCTCTGCCGCACCACTCACCTGCTCTGCCGCACCACTCACCTGCTCTGCCGCACCACTCACCTGCTCTGCCGCACCACTCACCTGCTCTGCCGCACCACTCACCTGCTCTGCCGCACCACTCACCTGCTCTGCCGCACCACTCACCTGCTCTGCCGCACCACTCACCTGCTCTGCCGCACCACTCACCTGCTCTGCCGCACCACTCACCTGCTCTGCCGCACCACTCACCTGCTCTGCCGCACCACTCACCTGCTCTGCCGCACCACTCACCTGCTCTGCCGCACCACTCACCTGCTCTGCCGCACCGCTCACCTGCTCTGCCGCACCACTCACCTGCTCTGCCGCACCACTCACCTGCTCTGCCGCACCACTCACCTGCTCTGCTGCACCACTCACCTGCTCTGCTGCACCACTCACCTGCTCTGCCGCACCACTCACCTGCTCTGCTGCACCACTCACCTGCTCTGCCGCACCACTCACCTGCTCTGCCGCACCACTCACCTGCTCTGCTGCACCACTCACCTGCTCTGCTGCACCACTCACCTGCTCTGCCGCACCACTCACCTGCTCTGCCGCACCACTCACCTGCTCTGCTGCACCACTCACCTGCTCTGCTGCACCACTCACCTGCTCTGCTGCACCACTCACCTGCTCTGCTGCACCACTCACCTGCTCTGCTGCACCACTCACCTGCTCTGCTGCACCACTCACCTGCTCTGCTGCACCACTCACCTGCTCTGCTGCACCACTCACCTGCTCTGCTGCACCACTCACCTGCTCTGCTGCACCACTCACCTGCTCTGCTGCACCACCTGCTCTGCCGCACCACTCACCTGCTCTGCCGCACCACTCACCTGCTCTGCTGCACCACTCACCTGCTCTGCTGCACCACTCACCTGCTCTGCTGCACCACTCACCTGCTCTGCCGCACCACTCACCTGCTCTGCTGCACCACTCACCTGCTCTGCTGCACCACTCACCTGCTCTGCTGCACCACTCACCTGCTCTGCTGCACCACTCACCTGCTCTGCTGCACCACTCACCTGCTCTGCTGCACCACTCACCTGCTCTGCTGCACCACTCACCTGCTCTGCTGCACCACTCACCTGCTCTGCTGCACCACTCACCTGCTCTGCCGCACCACTCACCTGCTCTGCCGCACCACTCACCTGCTCTGCTGCACCACTCACCTGCTCTGCTGCACCACTCACCTGCTCTGCCGCACCACTCACCTGCTCTGCCGCACCACTCACCTGCTCTGTTGCACCACTCACCTGCTCTGCCGCACCACTCACCTGCTCTGCTGCACCACTCACCTGCTCTGCTGCACCACTCACCTGCTCTGCCGCACCACTCACCTGCTCTGCTGCACCACTCACCTGCTCTGCCGCACCACTCACCTGCTCTGCCGCACCACTCACCTGCTCTGCTGCACCACTCACCTGCTCTGCTGCACCACTCACCTGCTCTGCTGCACCACTCACCTGCTCTGCTGCACCACTCACCTGCTCTGCTGCACCACTCACCTGCTCTGCTGCACCACTCACCTGCTCTGTCGCACCACTCACCTGCTCTGCTGCACCACTCACCTGCTCTGCTGCACCACTCACCTGCTCTGCTGCACCACTCACCTGCTCTGCCGCACCACTCACCTGCTCTGCTGCACCACTCACCTGCTCTGCTGCACCACTCACCTGCTCTGCTGCACCACTCACCTGCTCTTCTGCACCACTCACCTGCTCTGCCGCACCACTCACCTGCTCTGCCGCACCACTCACCTGCTCTGCTGCACCACTCACCTGCTCTGCTGCACCACTCACCTGCTCTGCTGCACCACTCACCTGCTCTGCTGCACCACTCACCTGCTCTGCCGCACCACTCATCTGCTCTGCCGCACCACTCACCTGCTCTGCTGCACCACTCACCTGCTCTGCTGCACCACTCACCTGCTCTGCCGCACCACTCACCTGCTCTGCTGCACCACTCACCTGCTCTGCCGCACCACTCACCTGCTCTGCCGCACCACTCACCTGCTCTGCCGCACCACTCACCTGCTCTGCCGCACCACTCACCTGCTCTGCCGCACCACTCACCTGCTCTGCCGCACCACTCACCTGCTCTGCCGCACCACTCACCTGCTCTGCCGCACCACTCACCTGCTCTGCCGCACCACTCACCTGCTCTGCCGCACCACTCACCTGCTCTGCCGCACCACTCACCTGCTCTGCCGCACCACTCACCTGCTCTGCCGCACCACTCACCTGCTCTGCCGCACCACTCACCTGCTCTGCCGCACCACTCACCTGCTCTGCCGCACCACTCACCTGCTCTGCCGCACCACTCACCTGCTCTGCCGCACCACTCACCTGCTCTGCCGCACCACTCACCTGCTCTGCCGCACCACTCACCTGCTCTGCTGCACCACTCACCTGCTCTGCCGCACCACTCACCTGCTCTGCCGCACCACTCACCTGCTCAGCCGCACCACTCACCTGCTCTGCCGCACCACTCACCTGCTCTGCCGCACCACTCACCTGCTCTGCCGCACCACTCACCTGCTCTGCCGCACCACTCACCTGCTCTGCCGCACCACTCACCTGCTCTGCCGCACCACTCACCTGCTCTGCCGCACCACTCACCTGCTCTGCTGCACCACTCACCTGCTCTGCCGCACCACTCACCTGCTCTGCCGCACCACTCACCTGCTCTGCCGCACCACTCACCTGCTCTGCCGCACCACTCACCTGCTCTGCTGCACCACTCACCTGCTCTGCTGCACCACTCACCTGCTCTGCTGCACCACTCACCTGCTCTGCCGCACCACTCACCTGCTCTGCTGCACCACTCACCTGCTCTGCCGCACCACTCACCTGCTCTGCTGCACCACTCACCTGCTCTGCTGCACCACTCACCTGCTCTGCTGCACCACTCACCTGCTCTGCTGCACCACTCACCTGCTCTGCCGCACCACTCACCTGCTCTGCCGCACCACTCACCTGCTCTGCTGCACCACTCACCTGCTCTGCTGCACCACTCACCTGCTCTGCTGCACCACTCACCTGCTCTGCTGCACCACTCACCTTCTCTGCCGCACCACTCACCTGCTCTGCTGCACCACTCACCTGCTCTGCTGCACCACTCACCTGCTCTGCTGCACCACTCACCTGCTCTGCCGCACCACTCACCTGCTCTGCCGCACCACTCACCTGCTCTGCCGCACCACTCACCTGCTCTGCCGCACCACTCACCTGCTCTGCCGCACCACTCACCTGCTCTGCTGCACCACTCACCTGCTCTGCTGCACCACTCACCTGCTCTGCCGCACCACTCACCTGCTCTGCTGCACCACTCACCTGCTCTGCCGCACCACTCACCTGCTCTGCCGCACCACTCACCTGCTCTGCTGCACCACTCACCTGCTCTGCTGCACCACTCACCTGCTCTGCCGCACCACTCACCTGCTCTGCTGCACCACTCACCTGCTCTGCTGCACCACTCACCTGCTCTGCTGCACCACTCACCTGCTCTGCCGCACCACTCACCTGCTCTGCTGCACCACTCACCTGCTCTGCTGCACCACTCACCTGCTCTGCTGCACCACTCATCTGCTCTGCTGCACCACTCACCTGCTCTGCTGCACCACTCACCTGCTCTGCTGCACCACTCACCTGCTCTGCTGCACCACTCACCTGCTCTGCTGCACCACTCACCTGCTCTGCCGCACCACTCACCTGCTCTGCCGCACCACTCACCTGCTCTGCTGCACCACTCACCTGCTCTGCTGCACCACTCACCTGCTCTGCCGCACCACTCACCTGCTCTGCCGCACCACTCACCTGCTCTGCCGCACCACTCACCTGCTCTGCTGCACCACTCACCTGCTCTGCTGCACCACTCACCTGCTCTGCTGCACCACTCACCTGCTCTGCTGCACCACTCACCTGCTCTGCCGCACCACTCACCTGCTCTGCCGCACCACTCACCTGCTCTGCCGCACCACTCACCTGCTCTGCCGCACCACTCACCTGCTCTGCTGCACCACTCACCTGCTCTGCTGCACCACTCACCTGCTCTGCTGCACCACTCACCTGCTCTGCCGCACCACTCACCTGCTCTGCTGCACCACTCACCTGCTCTGCCGCACCACTCACCTGCTCTGCTGCACCACTCACCTGCTCTGCTGCACCACTCACCTGCTCTGCTGCACCACTCACCTGCTCTGCTGCACCACTCACCTGCTCTGCTGCACCACTCACCTGCTCTGCCGCACCACTCACCTGCTCTGCTGCACCACTCACCTGCTCTGCTGCACCACTCACCTGCTCTGCTGCACCACTCACCTGCTCTGCTGCACCACTCACCTGCTCTGCCGCACCACTCACCTGCTCTGCTGCACCACTCACCTGCTCTGCTGCACCACTCACCTGCTCTGCTGCACCACTCACCTGCTCTGCTGCACCACTCACCTGCTCTGCCGCACCACTCACCTGCTCTGCCGCACCACTCACCTGCTCTGCTGCACCACTCACCTGCTCTGCTGCACCACTCACCTGCTCTGCTGCACCACTCACCTGCTCTGCCGCACCACTCACCTGCTCTGCCGCACCACTCACCTGCTCTGCCGCACCACTCACCTGCTCTGCCGCACCACTCACCTGCTCTGCCGCACCACTCACCTGCTCTGCTGCACCACTCACCTGCTCTGCTGCACCACTCACCTGATCTGCCGCACCACTCACCTGCTCTGCTGCACCACTCACCTGCTCTGCTGCACCACTCACCTGCTCTGCTGCACCACTCACCTGCTCTGCTGCACCACTCACCTGCTCTGCCGCACCACTCACCTGCTCTGCTGCACCACTCACCTGCTCTGCTGCACCACTCACCTGCTCTGCTGCACCACTCACCTGCTCTGCTGCACCACTCACCTGCTCTGCCGCACCACTCACCTGCTCTGCTGCACCACTCACCTGCTCTGCTGCACCACTCACCTGCTCTGCCGCACCACTCACCTGCTCTGCTGCACCACTCACCTGCTCTGCTGCACCACTCACCTGCTCTGCTGCACCACTCACCTGCTCTGCTGCACCACTCACCTGCTCTGCCGCACCACTCACCTGCTCTGCTGCACCACTCACCTGCTCTGCTGCACCACTCACCTGCTCTGCTGCACCACTCACCTGCTCTGCCGCACCACTCACCTGCTCTGCCGCACCACTCACCTGCTCTGCTGCACCACTCACCTGCTCTGCCGCACCACTCACCTGCTCTGCCGCACCACTCACCTGCTCTGCTGCACCACTCACCTGCTCTGCTGCACCACTCACCTGCTCTGCTGCACCACTCACCTGCTCTGCTGCACCACTCACCTGCTCTGCTGCACTACTCACCTGCTCTGCCGCACCACTCACCTGCTCTGCCGCACCACTCACCTGCTCTGCTGCACCACTCACCTGCTCTGCTGCACCACTCACCTGCTGTGCTGCACCACTCACCTGCTCTGCCGCACCACTCACCTGCTCTGCCGCACCACTCACCTGCTCTGCCGCACCACTCACCTGCTCTGCCGCACCACTCACCTGCTCTGCCGCTCCACTCACCTGCTCTGCTGCACCACTCACCTGCTCTGCTGCACCAGTCACCTGCTCTGCCGCACCACTCACCTGCTCTGCTGCACCACTCACCTGCTCTGCTGCACCACTCACCTGCTCTGCTGCACCACTCACCTGCTCTGCTGCACCAGTCACCTGCTCTGCTGCACCACTCACCTGCTCTGCTGCACCACTCACCTGCTCTGCCGCACCACTCACCTGCTCTGCTGCACCACTCACCTGCTCTGCTGCACCACTCACCTGCTCTGCTGCACCACTCACCTGCTCTGCCGCACCACTCACCTGCTCTGCCGCACCACTCACCTGCTCTGCCGCACCACTCACCTGCTCTGCCGCACCACTCACCTGCTCTGCCGCACCACTCACCTGCTCTGCTGCACCACTCACCTGCTCTGCCGCACCACTCACCTGCTCTGCTGCACCACTCACCTGCTCTGCTGCACCACTCACCTGCTCTGCTGCACCACTCACCTGCTCTGCCGCACCACTCACCTGCTCTGCTGCACCACTCACCTGCTCTGCTGCACCACTCACCTGCTCTGCTGCACCACTCATCTGCTCTGCTGCACCACTCACCTGCTCTGCTGCACCACTCACCTGCTCTGCTGCACCACTCACCTGCTCTGCTGCACCACTCACCTGCTCTGCTGCACCACTCACCTGCTCTGCCGCACCACTCACCTGCTCTGCCGCACCACTCACCTGCTCTGCTGCACCACTCACCTGCTCTGCTGCACCACTCACCTGCTCTGCCGCACCACTCACCTGCTCTGCCGCACCACTCACCTGCTCTGCCGCACCACTCACCTGCTCTGCTGCACCACTCACCTGCTCTGCTGCACCACTCACCTGCTCTGCTGCACCACTCACCTGCTCTGCTGCACCACTCACCTGCTCTGCCGCACCACTCACCTGCTCTGCCGCACCACTCACCTGCTCTGCCGCACCACTCACCTGCTCTGCCGCACCACTCACCTGCTCTGCTGCACCACTCACCTGCTCTGCTGCACCACTCACCTGCTCTGCTGCACCACTCACCTGCTCTGCCGCACCACTCACCTGCTCTGCTGCACCACTCACCTGCTCTGCCGCACCACTCACCTGCTCTGCTGCACCACTCACCTGCTCTGCTGCACCACTCACCTGCTCTGCTGCACCACTCACCTGCTCTGCTGCACCACTCACCTGCTCTGCTGCACCACTCACCTGCTCTGCCGCACCACTCACCTGCTCTGCTGCACCACTCACCTGCTCTGCTGCACCACTCACCTGCTCTGCTGCACCACTCACCTGCTCTGCTGCACCACTCACCTGCTCTGCCGCACCACTCACCTGCTCTGCTGCACCACTCACCTGCTCTGCTGCACCACTCACCTGCTCTGCTGCACCACTCACCTGCTCTGCTGCACCACTCACCTGCTCTGCCGCACCACTCACCTGCTCTGCCGCACCACTCACCTGCTCTGCTGCACCACTCACCTGCTCTGCTGCACCACTCACCTGCTCTGCTGCACCACTCACCTGCTCTGCCGCACCACTCACCTGCTCTGCCGCACCACTCACCTGCTCTGCCGCACCACTCACCTGCTCTGCCGCACCACTCACCTGCTCTGCCGCACCACTCACCTGCTCTGCTGCACCACTCACCTGCTCTGCTGCACCACTCACCTGATCTGCCGCACCACTCACCTGCTCTGCTGCACCACTCACCTGCTCTGCTGCACCACTCACCTGCTCTGCTGCACCACTCACCTGCTCTGCTGCACCACTCACCTGCTCTGCCGCACCACTCACCTGCTCTGCTGCACCACTCACCTGCTCTGCTGCACCACTCACCTGCTCTGCTGCACCACTCACCTGCTCTGCTGCACCACTCACCTGCTCTGCCGCACCACTCACCTGCTCTGCTGCACCACTCACCTGCTCTGCTGCACCACTCACCTGCTCTGCCGCACCACTCACCTGCTCTGCTGCACCACTCACCTGCTCTGCTGCACCACTCACCTGCTCTGCTGCACCACTCACCTGCTCTGCTGCACCACTCACCTGCTCTGCCGCACCACTCACCTGCTCTGCTGCACCACTCACCTGCTCTGCTGCACCACTCACCTGCTCTGCTGCACCACTCACCTGCTCTGCCGCACCACTCACCTGCTCTGCCGCACCACTCACCTGCTCTGCTGCACCACTCACCTGCTCTGCCGCACCACTCACCTGCTCTGCCGCACCACTCACCTGCTCTGCTGCACCACTCACCTGCTCTGCTGCACCACTCACCTGCTCTGCTGCACCACTCACCTGCTCTGCTGCACCACTCACCTGCTCTGCTGCACTACTCACCTGCTCTGCCGCACCACTCACCTGCTCTGCCGCACCACTCACCTGCTCTGCTGCACCACTCACCTGCTCTGCTGCACCACTCACCTGCTGTGCTGCACCACTCACCTGCTCTGCCGCACCACTCACCTGCTCTGCCGCACCACTCACCTGCTCTGCCGCACCACTCACCTGCTCTGCCGCACCACTCACCTGCTCTGCCGCTCCACTCACCTGCTCTGCTGCACCACTCACCTGCTCTGCTGCACCAGTCACCTGCTCTGCCGCACCACTCACCTGCTCTGCTGCACCACTCACCTGCTCTGCTGCACCACTCACCTGCTCTGCTGCACCACTCACCTGCTCTGCTGCACCAGTCACCTGCTCTGCTGCACCACTCACCTGCTCTGCTGCACCACTCACCTGCTCTGCCGCACCACTCACCTGCTCTGCTGCACCACTCACCTGCTCTGCTGCACCACTCACCTGCTCTGCTGCACCACTCACCTGCTCTGCCGCACCACTCACCTGCTCTGCCGCACCACTCACCTGCTCTGCCGCACCACTCACCTGCTCTGCCGCACCACTCACCTGCTCTGCCGCACCACTCACCTGCTCTGCTGCACCACTCACCTGCTCTGCCGCACCACTCACCTGCTCTGCCGCACCACTCACCTGCTCTGCCGCACCACTCACCTGCTCTGCCGCACCACTCACCTGCTCTGCTGCACCACTCACCTGCTCTGCTGCACCACTCACCTGCTCTGCCGCACCACTCACCTGCTCTGCCGCACCACTCACCTGCTCTGCTGCACCACTCACCTGCTCTGCCGCACCACTCACCTGCTCTGCTGCACCACTCACCTGCTCTGCCGCACCACGCACCTGCTCTGCCGCACCACTCACCTGCTCTGCCGCACCACTCACCGACTCTGCCGCACCACTCACCTGCTCTGCCGCACCACTCACCTGCTCTGCCGCACCACTCACCTGCTCTGCCGCACCACTCACCTGCTCTGCCGCACCACTCACCTGCTCTGCCGCACCACTCACCTGCTCTGCCGCACCACTCACCTGCTCTGCCGCACCACTCACCTGCTCTGCTACACCACTCACCTGCTCTGCCGCACCACTCACCTGCTCTGCCGCACCACTCACCTGCTCTGCCGCATCACTCACCTGCTCTGCCGCACCACTCACCTGCTCTGCCGCACCACTCACCTGCTCTGCTGCACCACTCACCTGCTCTCGGGCATCTCTGCACCCCCTAAACCTCCTTAACAACTGAGGCTCAACACCCTTTCTCTTCCTTGCACCTCCATCACTCCCTCTATGTCGCTCGCTGCCCTTCGTGTCTCTCTCTTTTTATCCCAGCCCAATGGTGGAAGTGAAGCTTGTCCCGGTCAGCATCCAACCAATCAATCTGTTGGCGTAACCACGGTGCTGAATGGCGAAAATCGGTCACACTTGACGATCAGTCGAGCAAGAGCGATTGTCCCCGGCGAGACGATATCAACGGCTCTCTTTGCGCGGGCAAAGAAAAAGGTCGCTCGTACGAGTGCGTACGCGTTGGTGCATGTACGGTTATGTACATATGCGTCGCGTACGAGTGTGTACGGTAGGTAGACGCACTACGTGCATGAAGGCATACGTACGCATGCATACGTATGTCTACGCGCGTCTAGGTTAAATAGGTCATGCATATACGCATGCAGATGCGCACGTTCCTTAATATTCAGCTCATTATTCCAGAGCTAATTTGTCATTGATTTGTTGACCTACATGCATAAGCTCCAGATTACACAAACATATTTGTCAACTTACATGTGCAGCTTGTAAATCAGCAAAATCTGTTCTGTTTACTGCCATGTGGAAAGCTGTAGTTTTGCAAGATACTGTTTTGCTGTTCTCGTTTTGGGCACAGCTGACGAGCGAAACCTATTCGCGCTGCGAATTTGTCACTGTAAATGCTGGCACATTCACTTTGGGTCGCGCTCGCTGTATCGGAGTGTCGGACTGCATATACGCAGGGCACCCAAACCGACTTTCCGACTTTGTCACTGCGCTGCGGACGTAGCACTGTGCAGAACGCTACTTCAGTACATCCACTTTGCACCACGAACCCACGTTCGTTCAGGGGGACCAAGCAAGCCAGAAAGTGCACGAAACGTGATGTGAGTGGGCTGGGCTCACAATCGCTCACCTAACTCCCACTCCCGTTTTTCAGACCTCGATTCTTATCATCCGCCACTCTATCTCAACTCAACATCCGAGCCTCTCTTCTAGATCGCCCTCCGCCATGGGGCATGGCATCACCATTTCGTAAGCCTGCTTTCTTAGTCGCAGTCACGCTATCGTAGTTTCGTTTTTCGTGATTTCGTTTGCTATTTTTTTTTTTTCCAGATCTCGTTTCAATCTCAAGCCATTCTACTCAAGAGCGCAGCCTCTCTTTTGGATCGCCATCCGCCATGGGCCATGGCATTAGTATTTCGTAAGCCCGCTTTCTTACTCACGCTATCTTCAGTCTTGTTTCCAGTAATTTCGTTTTCTTCGTAGATTCCCTCTTCTTAGCTCCGTTTGTTCCGATTTCTGCTTGTCCGTGTTCGTGCTGACGTGTGCATGGTCATGGCAGGCACGCTGCAGCCAGCACAAGCTCGTCATCTGCCGTTCCAGGAGCCAGCAGCAATGCGGCATTCCACATCCAAAATCTGCCACCAAACATGGCGATTTCCGTTTAGCTCCGCTTCAGGGCGCCGATGCCACGCCGCTGTCATGCCAATTGCCATGCCGCTGACACGCCAACGACAACGACGGCGCTGCTCATGGCGCTCTGGGGAACGTTGAGACATCCAGGCCACCCTCTCCCCTCCCCTTTCTGCCAGGTACCAGTGCAGCGCTTGCCCATTTGAGCATGTCTCACCCACCCCCTCCCCTCTTTCCCCACTTCCCCCCTTCTGCCAGGTGCCTTCCCATGCCCTGCATGGTGCCTTCTCATGCCCTGCCCGGTAAATTCTCATGCCCTGCATGGTGCCTTGGCATGCCCTGCCAGGTGCATTCGCATTCCCTGCATGGTGCCTTCTCATTTCCTGCCAGGTAAGGGGGTAAGGGGGTTTAGGGTGCTCCCCCCGCTCACTTGCCCTGCTCCCCCCGCTCACTTGCTCTGCTCCCCCACCCCAACTCCTCCCCTCCCCTTGCGCAGGTGCCAGTTTCTCCTGTCGCCAAGATGAAGATACTTTGCACAGGGAGCAGATGCGTTGCCAGCTGCTTGTGTGGCCGTCCCTGTTCATCCATGCGCGGGACATGAGAGAGAACAAGGGAGAGAAACAGAAGCAGGAGGAGGGAGCGCAGCGCCATGCCATGCCGCATGGCCCACCAAACCAGCCCCAGGTGCGTTGTGAGTCATTTGACCAATCCCCTCCTCTGTCCCCTTTGTTTTGAGTCATTTGACCAATCCCCTCCTCTCTCCTCTTTGTTTTGAGTCATTTGACCAATCCCCTCCTCTCTCCCCTCTGTTTTGAGTCATTTGACCAATCCCCTCCTCTCTCCTCTTTGTTTTGAGTCATTTGACCAATCCCCTCCTCTCTTCCCCCTGTTTTGAGTCATTTGACCAATCCCCTACTCTCTCCCCTCTGTTTTGAGTCATTTGACCAATCCCCTCCTCTCCCCTCTTTGTTTTGAGTCATTTGACCAATCCCCTCCTCTCTTCCCCCTGTTTTGAGTCATTTGACCAATCCCCTACTCTCTTCCCTCTGTTTTGAGTCATTTGACCAATCCCCTCATCTCTCCTATTCGTTTTGAGTCATTTAACCAATTCCCTCCTCTCTCCTCCTTGTTTCGAGTCATTTCACCAATTCCCTCCTCTCTCTCCTCTTTGTTTTGAGTCATTTGACCAATCCCCTCCTCTCTCCCCTCAGTTTTGAGTCATTTCACCAATCCCCTCCTCTCTCCTCTCTGTTTTGAGTCATTTGACCAATCCCCTCCTCTCTCCTATTTGTTTTGAGTCATTTGTCCAATCCCCTCCTCTCTCCTATTTGTTTTGAGTCATTTGACCAATCCCCTCCTCTCTCTCTGTTTTGAGTCATTTCACCTATCCCCTCCTCTCTCCTCTTTGTTTCGACTCATTTGACCAATCCCCTCCTCTCTCCCCTCAGTTTTGAGTCTTTTCACCAATCCCCTCCTCTCTCCTCTTTGTTTTGAGTCATTTGACCAATCCCCTCGTCTCTCCCCTCTGTTTTGAATCATTTGACCAATCCCCTCCTATCTCCCCTCTGTTCTGAGTCATTTGACCAATCCCCTCTTCTCTCCCCTCTGTTTTGAGCCATTTGACCAATCCCCTCCTCTCTCTCTGTTTTGAGTCATTTCACCTATCCCCTCCTCTCTCCTCTTTGTTTCGACTCATTTGACCAATCCCCTCCTCTCTCCCCTCAGTTTTGAGTCTTTTCACCAATCCCCTCCTCTCTCCTCTTTGTTTTGAGTCATTTGACCAATCCCCTCCTCTCTCCCCTCTGTTTCGAGTCATTTGACCAATGCCTCATCTCCCCTCCCCTCCCCTCTCCTCCCTCCCTCCCTCCCTCCCTCCCTCCCTCCCTCCCCGTGTTTCAGCAGCTGCCAGCGGGGCGTGACAGTGCAGCACGGGGTGGGGCAAGCTGACGCGCACGCCCACGTGGTAAGAGTGAACCAGAACGATGCATTGATGTATGAACACAAAAGCAAAACAATGTACTAGGGCACATAAAAATCATGTGCCTTCTCATTCCCTCAAGGTGCCTTGCCGTTCCCTGCATGATGCCTTCTCATTCCTTGCATGATGCCATTTTCCTCCCCTTTCCAGCAGGTGCCAGTGCAAGGCATAATGTTTTGAGGTGTCACACTCAACACCTCCCCTCTGTCCTCCCGTTTCCAGCAGGTGCCAGTGTAGCGCATGTTGATTGAAGAGGTCTCACTCACCCCGTCCCCTCTTTCCATCCCAATATTTCCTGTTTGTTTGTTTGTCTGTTTCAGTTTGTTTTGCTTGCTTGTTTGTTGTTCCTGTGTGCATTCTTTGCTCAAGGGGAGACGTCCAAGCCACCCTCTCCCCTCCCCTTTCTGCCAGCTGCCAGTGCAGCGCCTGCCCATTTGAGCTTGTCTCACCCACCCCCTCCCCTCTTTTCCCACTTTACCCCTTCTGCCAGGTGCCTTCTCATGCCCTGCAAGGTGCCTTCGCATGTTGCACGGTGCCTTCACATGCCCTGCATGGTGCCTGTTCATGCCCTGGCTGGTGGGTTGCATTCCCTGCATGGTGACTTTCATTTCCTGCCAGGTAAGGGGGTAAGGGGGTTTAGGGTGCTCCCCCCGCTCACTTGCCCTGCTCCCCCCGCTCACTTGCTCTGCTCCCCCACCCCAACTCCTCCCCTCCCCTTGCGCAGGTGCCAGTTTCTCCTGTCGCCAAGATGAAGATACTTTGCACAGGGAGCAGATGCGTTGCCAGCTGCTTGTGCGGCCGTCCCTCATCATCCATGCGCGGGACATGAGAGAGAACAAGGGAGAGAAACAGAAGCAGGAGGAGGGAGCGCAGCGCCATGCCATGCTGCATGGCCCACCAAACCGGCCCCAGGTGCGTTGTGAGTCGCCCCAGAGCATGCACTGCACACCTTGCCATATCCCTCACACCTGCCATCCCACCATGCCCTCACACCTCCTGCCATCCCCTCACTTGCCCTGCTCCCCCCGCTCACTTGCTCCGCTTCCCCTCTCCCCCACCCCAACTCCCCCCCTCCCCTTGCGCAGGTGCCAGCTTCCCTCCTGTCGCCAAGACGAAGACACTTGGCTTGCAATGTGTAGAGTGGTAGGGATTGATGAATCTGATTACGTTAGGAACATAAATGTATGAGCCTGTTATTATATGTGCAGGGGGATGGGGGGAGTGCAGGTTTGGTTTGGGCCAGGTTTGGGATATGAAAGAGTGGCAGAAACGGAAACAGGGAGTAGATGTGTTGCCACCTGCTTGTGTTCAGCCATGCGCAGGGCAGGACATGAGGGAGAAGAAGAGAGAGAAACAGACGCACAAGGAGGGAGCGCATGTGCCATTTTCTTCTGTCTACAACACGAGGCTATTTGCTACGACGCGTAGAGTGATAGATGACTTAGCGAATATGAATGTATGTGCTTGTTCTTATATACGCAGGCGGGCAGAGAAAGGGGGGAGGGGTGAGGGAAAAGGGAGGGGAGTGGGGAGCAGAAGCAGAACAGAAGAGGGAGTGGTGGATGAGCTCCTGGCTCTCTGTGCTGTGCGCCCCTCCCTGGTTGGCCATGCCATGCCATGCCATGCCATGCCATGCCATGCCATGCCCGGGAGGGATATGATAGATAGGAAGCACAAAGTAGAAGCAGAAGCAGGAATGTGATATGACAGGGAGCAGATATGCATGGGCCATGCCCAGGGATGTCCAGGGCGGTTCGAGGGGGGCTGTGAGGGGCTGTGAGGAGAATTGGGGGGTAGGGGGGCCTTAGGGGGGCCTTGGGGGGGCTGTGGGGGGTTTTTTTCAGGATTTTAGGGGGGTTTTCCCCTCTCTTGTACCCCATCTCTGCTTATCAATCAATCACAAACAAGCTTTCTGCCATCACCCTTCCGATTACGCTCATGTTGTCGCCTTGCCACCTGAGGGAGGGGGATCCAGATGATCCAGGTGGTCCGGGGCCGTCCTCCTGAAATACGTATGTCAAG